AATCCTGTCCGTATATACCACACCTCATCCATAATGATTGTTCCTTCTCTTGTAATGATTGTCACATGTATGTACCTATGCTATCCCAACACCTCTGCTGTAAGCAGTAAAAAATTAATTAAAAAACTGCCTGTACATGCTGTGGAACTACTCTTGGGATGAATAGAGCTGGAGAGGGAAAGATGCTTTAATGGGCTGCCTCTCTGGTAACTGGGTTGAGTAAGATAACAAGAAAAAGATAAGAGTGTGGACTCTTAAGGAAAGTTGTGGCTTGGAGAATTCGTGAGATGGGTATGTCTTCTGTCTTCTGGTCTTCTGTCTGAATAATACTAGTATCCCAAATGTTGATGGGCAACTACTAGGCTAATGAAGGGTGATCAGTTATCTGGATTGCTGGGGCAGGATCTGATGAGGAACAAATGAAGAGGGGAAAACAAGGCTTCTTATATACAAAATCTGGGGAGTGGCCAGCTTGTGATTGGAAACACCATGGAACAAAATGGAACAAGAGAAAATTATCAAACTGAAACAATGTGGCCCAATTGGGAGGCACTAAGATGAATGGAGGAAATGACATCAGATGCATGCAGGGATGAAATGTGCCACAATCAATGAGGGAGGAAGAATATACCAAAGAGATGAATGAACTAGCCAAATGTGTACTAGTGTGAGACATGCAGATAACCCAAGAGGAATAGTGTGAAACAGTGAAATGTGGCCCAAAGTGGAAATGAGGCTAGAGTGAAAGTGGAATAGAATGAAACATATGCAGTGGCCAAGTGTGGAAGGCTGAATGGGGATTGATGATGTAAGACTGCATAAGATGATTATGTAATAAAGAAATGAAATGTGAATCCAGAGTGTCTTCTGTCCTGGGGCTTGGTCTTGTGACATTCATGGTGTCGCAGGCTGACTGAATATTCCAGAAGGGGCTTGTCTTGATCATTGAGGGTCTTGTCATTCAGAGGGCTTGATATTGTGCTTGATGCTTTGATTTTGTGGGCCTCTTATTCAAGATTGGCTTACCACATCCACCCCCAAATTAGATGATGACCCCATCATCCAAACAAAGAAGAGGGAAATCTTGAATAAGAGGGTCAAGGGAAATGAGCCAAAAAAGTGGAACACCAAATATGGGACACAAATTAATTAGGGGGTATCAAATATAATCAAATCCACCATTATTTAATTAACTGGTTTGAAAAAATCCACCCTGTTTTAAACATGTTGATTCTTCATTCAACCCCTTTTAGGGCCCATTGATGCAAAAAATGTTTTTGGGAAAAGTCACTGGTTTCTAAAGGTGGATTTCCTATATTTGATACCCCCTATTTACTTAATTTCACATAGGAAACACAAACAAGTGGAAAATTTACCAATGGTGAGAGAAGGAATATTTCAGACACAAAAGGAGTGAGGAGGTAGAAGGAGAAGAAAAGAGAAAAGGACTAGGAGACAGGCTGGTTGTTTTTGAGGAAAGGGATTGGTTGGTTTTATCAATTTATTCTAAGATTTTTTTTACATTTTTATTTGTAACCACCCCCAAATTTGTATCTTGGAGGGGTGGGGAAAGAAGATGACAAGAGGGGGTGAAATCTGTAGGAAGTGAAAGGTCAGGTAATTAGGGTATTGTTTTGGAGTTAGAGTGGTTTGGGTTTTAAATTTCTATAACTTCTCATCCTTTTTTTTTTTTTTTTAACTTATCCGGCGCAGAAGTATCAAGGATGACCGTTCTTTATGGCTCATAAGTCTATCCTGAAGCACAATTCCATCCGCGCACGTTCCGTCCAAATCTTCTGCTGCGGCCGCAGCGGTCTTGTAATCAGAAAAGTGGATGATGGTGCCGGGGTTCAATTGTTTTCGTGGAAGAAGGAAGCAATGGTCAATTTCACCATAAGTGGCTAAAATGGTCCAAAGGTCCTCGGTAGTAGTTCCTGGGCTAAGGTTGGCGAGCTCAATTGGCCAAGGTAGGGGGGCATGGAAGTAGCGGACAGGGGATGGGTAACAGTGTGAGCTCTGGTCGTGCATACTTTAGATTGACCTTCTGCGGGTAGGCGGGGCTCTGTACTCGGGCTCCCAGTGAATTAGGTAAAACAATTTGTTTCGGTTGTAGCGCCGTCGTTGGCGCCGTTCAAACTCCTGACGCAGCCGCTCCGAGTCAGCCCAAAAAGACTCCAGAAACTGGTTCCAGCATTTGTTGGACGCGTTCAACCTGTCTATCGTAGCCTGACTGATAAATGAAAATTCCCGAATTGGTAAGAGCAGGTCGTCCTCGCCCAATCCTCTAGTTGTAACTTCTTGTTTCATCTCAAACGAGCACAGCGTCTGGGGATTGTGATCAAAAGACGAGGAAAGTTATGCACCAGAAAAAAAACAAAGGTATGGAAGCGGAAAAGGAGTGCCGAGAATGTTTGAGGCCTGCTGGAAGGGGAGCGAGACAAAATAGCGGCCGAGTCGTGGTTGTCATTACTTGGGTATAAAAGCAGGGTCGACAGCCTTGTTCCCTGCCAGCAGTAGTCAGCTTCCTGTAGTCATGTCTCATAGTCCCACCGAAGTCAACGCTGCCACTGCCCTAGCCGACATGTTAACAAACAACAGCCCACTATCCTCTAGTTATTCTGCTGTTAGTCGCGTATCCGTGGGTATAGATGATGGATTCACGTTGCCGCCTCTTGTCGAGATCCATCCTTCAGCTTATCTTCAAGCCCACACCGGCGCTATCTTAGACGTGGATGCAAGCACTAACAAGGGTCTGGGATTTGTACCCCTGTTCAATGCCGCGCCGGCCACGCCGGT